GAGGCGTGGTTAACAGTCTAATTAATAATCGTAATTTTGGATTCTCTTTGCTAGTTTCTGAAGGTATAGTTCTTTACCTGTGATAATACATTGGAATCACTTCAATTATACTTATTTCCAAAACCCAGATGTTTTGGGGATAAAGAAGATTTATTCAACCAAAGAAAGTGGAATCTGTAACTCCCAAGTGATAACTAGCTTAATAATTGGCTCATACATCAGCATGCATTACTGAGCACACATCAACTCCCTACCACCACTAACCTGTACTTAGGAGGATTCATAATAGCACTGAAAACATTTAACAATGCCCCTGGTTCTCCAACCACCAGGTCTCAACCAAGTAGACAACACATTATGCTAAACTTACTTTCCCATAGTGATTCATCCAGAGAAAGATGATTTCACGCTAACTTTCATTTTCTCCAAACAGCGTAGGTGGAAAGGGAAAGAAAGCAAACTTTGTTTCATGATAGAAAGCCCTCTGCTTTTTCACCCATCAAGGAGTACATAATTTTCCTGTTCATTCTAAGAAGTCCCCTCCTTCAGTTCCTTGAATTACAATCCACAAATTTTTACCTAGATATGCTAAACTGGATTGTGTACACACTTAAATGTAATCATGCTAACAGTTCACAGTATTCTGCATGCTGTCCACATGTGACTGCAATCAGATTTGGGTGTTTAATCTCTCATTGGATAGGATCTGAGGGAAGGAAGGCAGTGTTTCAGTCTTAGGGAGTACAACTGAAGCTTGCTGAAGGCTGTTAGTCCTAAAAAGGGAATTATCTACCTGAAGTTTCCTCATTGCATTAAGCTAAAAAATAAATTCTTTAAGAGGAGTTGTTTCTTCAGTTTTGCATAAAACAAATCTTGTTCTGAGTTTTGAATGACAGGTCTCTAAACTGTAAGGAACACATAAACCTCCAACCCCAACATCTCTTTGTTAGCATTGAGTACAGCCAAGTGATTTGATTACATGAAACAGAGTATTAAGGCAATTATCCAGTCATTCAAACCGAGAAAAAAACTGACGTGAATTATTTAGGAAGTGCCCCAATTTTCTATCAAAACTCTAGCAGCCCAGGTCTGACCAAAGCCTTTCACAAATGGAGTCACCATCAGAATATTTCAAGTTTTATATGTTTAGTTAGTAGTTTCCAGGTCAGTAACCATATTTTTGTTCCAGGAAACACTGAGGAATTTCTTTGAACTCTTAGCTCCAGCACAGAATTGGCTTAAGCCTTTTTTCTATTCCAAGTCTTGCATTCTGCATCAGAACAGTAAGACACATTTGGAATAGAGGCAGGCATTGTCTTTTGTAGGGATAGACCCCAGGGTAAACAAAAAGCACCCACAGAAGCTAGAAGCTGTTCATAATTAACAACTCAAAATTCTTAAATAGTTTATCAACTGAACTTCCAAGAGTAGGCTCTGTTTTCTTAAGATTCTACATAGAGGAAGAGTGTGGACAACAGTGAGAAAAGGAAAATAAAAAAGAAATATCTGCTAGAAGACAGGAATGGCAGAGGTGCCAGAGTCAGGTGAAGGGGTAAAACTAAAATCCTTCAAAGATTTCCAATTGTGTAGTCTGTTAGGCTGCCTCATAGGGACCAGGAGTTGCATTCTCAAAAAGAAGGGATACTTCAAATAGGAAAAGGTATACTTTTTTACCTATGGACACCCAGCTTATGTTGAGGCCCCAGCCCCAAGCCTGCAGCTTTGGGGTTGCTGGTATGTCTGAACAGATTGCATCTGTAATCAGCCCACTGACTGACAGTATCTGGTTCTGCTTACACTTGTATTTACCCAGGCTTCACCCAGCCACATAAATTATAAATTTATCTACTAACACATTGGAGAGTCCAAAACACACATGGTACAAAAGGGAGACTATTCAATGAGTTCACAGGGTTAAACCCTGGCTTACTTAGATACCAAGAGGCTATGCATGAGAACAGTAAGCTCTGAAAACTGTTTAACTAGCCATTTCACATTTTCTAGGCCTGGTACCACTTTAGGAAATTTTTTTTTTCAGTAGCCACATTTAGCTGTCTAATGTTATGAGAATTTTTAACATTTTTGTAAATTATCTAATGCTTAAAAAAAAACCCTCTTAGATCAGGGGTCAGTAAACTTTCTGTAAGAGACTAGAAAGTAAATGTTTGTGGCTTCAGAGCCATTCAGTGTCTATCACAACTCTTTTGTTGCAGCAGACATCAGCCCCAAGAAAATATGTAAGAAATTTTGAGTGTGGCTATGCTCCAATAAGACATTATTTATGGACACTGAAATCTGAATTTCACATAATTTTCACCTGTGATGAAATACAATTGTTCTTTCGAGTTTTTCAACCTGTTCCATTGTAGACCGTACCAGTAGGCAGCTGGCTAGATGTAGTTAGCAGCACACAATTGCTGACCCCTGACATAGAGAGTTGAAGGATGAACATTGCTGCTATCAACTGCAATGGTAGAGTCCAGGCAAAGGCAGTACAAGGGGGAAAGAAACAGTACTATGGAGTTGTGCTAATCATAATTCTTGAATTTTCTGTAAGATGTTTCAGCAGCTACTCAGGAAGCAGCGATCAGGAGAATCGTGATTCAAGGTCAGCCTGGGCAAAAATCAAGACCTTATTTCAAAAACACCCAGCATGCATGCACACACAAAAAGGGCTGGTGGAGTGGCACAAATGGTAGGGGCAATCAAGCATGAAGCCCTGAGTTCAAACCCAAGTACTGTCAAAAAAAAAAAAAAAAATCTTGCCGGCAGACACATAGATCCTCCAAGGGCTCACCAAGAATGCTACAGGCTCAGCTCAGGAATAGACCTCTCATAAACACAACTAATCCTTAGTCCACAGCCATTTCTCCTCCTTAACTCTCACATACCACACCAGCATTTCTCTTGCCCTAAATCATCCCCAGCCAGGAGCCAGGAACCGAGACCACATGAAAACCCAATTCAAGTTTGCCAATCCTAAATGCTCACCTTGTCCAGCTTTGCCTTCCCTTTCCAGAGGAAGCCTCCCTATAGGTCGTGGCCTAGGCTTTCTCCTTCTGCTTCTGCCCCAACACTGGTACATACCCGTGGCCCTGCATGGTGTGTCATGACCTCTTCTCTCCAGGAATGAATATAAATCTTTCAATGGTACTGCCTTCCCTGTGTCATTACGTAGTCATCCCTATCAATTAAAATCTCTAGGTACAAGTGAGACAGGGTGCCTGGACTCTAGCAGGATCCAGGACTAGCAGCCTCAGTGTCACCTGGGCCCTACTCCAGACCTACAGACTCAAAATCTACATACAGATAGATAAAGACCCCAGACTATTTGCAAGGATACTGAAACTTGAGATGCCCTGGTGGTTTAAAGCCTGGGCTCTGGAATGAGGTTTAGTTCAAATTCTTATGTCTTTCATTAGCTATGAGGTCTTAGAGAAATTATTATTATCACATACCTGTTTCCATACCTAAAAACTGGGGATGATGATCATATAATCCATGCTTACACATGTAGAAAGTTCCTGGCAAGTAGCAGTATTTATTAAATACTTACCATGATTCATTTTTAGAAAATAAATGCCCGTGTGCATACTCCTAAAGCCACTTCAGTGACACACACATTTCAAGCCACAGTCATGAGTTGAACTACTGTCCACCTGCCCAATGATTCCATCCATAAAACCAAAGAAAGACACCACAATTCCTGACTGCAGAGTGTAAAATATATTGATGGTTGTAAAGGGACAACTTGGATGGAGATGTTCAGGCCTGTTGCAATGATACACAGCGAACATACATGCTGTTTCTGGGAACCATGTCATGAGGTTTTTAAATACATCTCTGTGTTGAACGTGGTGTTTCGCGTTTTCATTAGCACAGATTACTACTCTACAGTTTCTCCTAGAGTAATATATATATATATATGTATATATAAAGTGGCTGTTTAAAGAGCAACTACAGACCTATTTAGGTGTTTACCAGGTGAACTATTTCACAATTAGCTCAATCATTGAGTTAACAGCAATATGTTTTTGTTTTTCACTGCTAGGGTGAGGAGGTAACTTTTCTGATTTACTGTTTGTTTACGCACCAACAGACTCCAAAAATAATGAAATATAATAAGTCTGTTAAAAAAATTAAATTGTGATTATGCCATGGTATTTTCCAAGACCCTTACAGTCAGATCATTTAAATTTACAAGGAAAAGAAATAGGCCTCATGGAAAACTAAGTAACAAAACCTACTGAAAAACACATCTGTAGAGCACAGTGGCCAGATGTAAACATCTCAGAAGGGCAAAGAAAGCAAAAAGTCCTTCTAGCATGGTAAGCAGTCCGACAATGAATGACAAACTCTGCTTTTTATCTTCCTAGTGGCTATTTTCCTACCACAGTGTTGAGTTTCATTATATATTAAATAACTTATGTGGGTAAAAAGGAGTTTGCTAACCAGCAGCCAACTCAAAACCTTGTAGGAAGAGGGGGAGAGGAATTTACAACACAACACACACTAAAGGGGAACAAAGTCCACAGTTGGCATCCAACCAGTCCTACCCCTCTCTGGCAATACTGCTAGAGCAGAGGCCTGGGATCTAAACTGAGGGGTTTTTTTCCCCCTCCCTCCTCTCCCTTTTTGTTTTAAATTAACAAAGAAACATGGGCTTCCTAAGAGCCAGCACTCAGCTGGGTAAGTCCCATTAGCAGCAAATGTTCAACCAAATAAAAAACATACACACAAAAGAAAACTCCATCCAGGTGCAGAGCTGTGATTCACATGGAAATTCCAGGAGATGAATCATTGCAGAGCCGGGATCTTTTGAGGATTCTTTCTCAAGTGTCTTCAGTGAACATTTCAGTCTCACAAAATCCAAGTCAATCTGTCAGCTGTGGGAAATGAGTTTCTCATCTGCTCTGCAGTAGACTTGCTTGCTTTGCTGACCAGAGTTCTTCCAAGGCTTCATGGTCTTCACGATCTTGCCTAGTAAGAGATGCCAGAACACAAAGGCCAGCCCCTCCACGCTCTGTGCGATGCAGCAGCAGCAGCAACAAGCAGCTTCTGTATGTTAAACTCTGCCTAAAAGGCTTGACCTGTGCAATAAAGAAAACTACGTAAGACACAATGCAGTAAACGATTTATATTAGGATTTAAAATGCTTTGCTCAATACTTATTTTGTCTTTCCTAGGTTTTATTATATATTTTTTGTTAGTGTATATTAACTGTAAAAGAGTTTTCACTGTGGTATTTCACTCATGCATATACTGTACTTTGATCAGATTAACCCTTTCTATTGCTCTCTTTCTTCCTAGGTTTTAAATTGAATTTTACCTAGTCAAAACTGGGAGGGGAGGGGGGGCCAAGCTTTGAAATCTTACTGATTCTTTAGGAAAATGTAGTCACTTTAATATTTACAATGGAGAAAGCAAAGCATTATTATAGATAAATCTACATCCTAAGTGATTTTACATTAAAACTAAACAAAAAAAAGCAAAGATCATTAATAATAAAAAGCTTTTAAGTTCTGTACCAGTCTTATAATAGAAAGGTTTATTCAGTATATAAAAGCATCTTCCACAACCCATTGTATGACCATTGGCAACACTGAAATAGTAGGTGACAAAAAAAGTGTCTGCCCTAGAGGCGGATTTGTCATTGTCATTGATGAATGTGTCTGCAATGAATGGATCTAGGGACAGCAGGAGAAGTGTCTATGTACAAATATCTTATTGCTATAAAAGCTAACATATAGACAAGTTTTCAGGTAGCTACTATCATTCTATAGTATTTAACATGCACTTAACATATGAGTTTTTGTAAAGTGTAAGGGACTAGTTTCTTTTAATTATCCTCTTTGTGGCTTCTAGGTCATAGCCAACACCTGCAATGACCTGCTGTCATTCAACATCACCACAAGAACAAGGGCTGAAGAGCAATGGAATACAGGACAGTGTATCAGGACTGGACAGTCTAGGGGAATGTCTCTGTGCCTGCCCTCTGGGGCCTACACAACAGCAGGGAAAAGAAACATACACACTGCACAAAGCAACACGTGGCAAGAGAAGACGAGTACTTTCAGAGTGTGAGGTCAGAGGAACTCTTTCTAGAGAGAAGTGGGAGTAGTGGAGCTGGGCTATGAGAACAGGTAGGATGTGAGGAAGGCAGAGTACATGGCTTAGACACCTAGGGGAGTTTGTTCCTCAAGCTTCCTTAGAAAACAATTTTAACATGGAAACTAATCTTTCATACTTAAGAAGGGATCTTGATTTCCTTATGTATCTTTTTTTCTTTTACAGCCAGGATCATACTATAAATATAGCCCAGGGTGGTCTGGAACAGGCCTACCTTAAATCATGCATTTTATTTGGGCCTCAGCTAGTCCCCATGCCATTCTTACCAGGAACATTGTTTCTGAGCAATTTTGAGTTGAGAACAAATATAATTAGATTCCCAGGTTCATTTCTGAATTCAGGCCAGTACACTTTCTTTTTTATCCCACATTTCTTGTCTCCACTAAATTCTTTGGTTTCATTTCAACCAATCAAATGTTCAGCGTTATCATACACTGTGTGTTAAGTACAAAGAGATATGGGAAGAGATTGTGCAATTCAATCTTTAGCTTTTACTATCAAACCTTGGACTTATTAACCTTTCTAATCTAACTACTAATCAGTTGGAATGTGTCATAAAAGCATATGAACTGAGCTGGGCACCACTGGCTCACACCTACAATATTGCTACTTGGGAGGCTGTGAGAGGGAGGATTGCAATTCAAAGCCAGCCCACGCAGAGTTTGTGAGACCCCCATCTCCAAAATAACCAGAGCAAAAGTGGACTGGAGGTGAGGCTCAAGCAGAGTCCCTGTTTTGCAAACACGAAGTCCTGAGTTCAAACCTCAGTCCCACCAAATCAAACCAAATTAAATCAAACAGACAAACAAAAAAAGAAAGTCAACTAAAAGAAGTACAGATCGATCTGGATCATTATAATATGTCTGGATGCCACAGGTGACACAGACACCATTTGTATCTGTTTACTTAACAATTCTTTTTAAAATCTATAGGAAAAGTAACAGTAGCTAAGCTATCCTTGCAGGGCTCACCAAACTTAATGTTCTCAAAGAAAAAGTGAAAAGGTAGATTAAAATGGAGAAACAAGGACGGCAAAATTCTCCTCATAGGATAAAGAAGTAAATCCCATATTTTCTTGTGTTAGTTTTTTTGGTGACATGGTCTTGTCAAGTAGCCCATACTGGTCTCAAACTTGAGATCCAAGATACTCCTTTCTCGGTCTCCCAAGTGCTAGGGTTACATGACCAGCTCCTCAATGTTTTTTTTAATCTAAGTAAAATGTGTACTTTAAAGCACTTTGATTATACTGTATTATATTACATCCTGGGCTGCTTTTATCTATTAAAGTAACTCAAATGCTTAAATACAAATGTTTGCAAGTTTGAAAATACTAATAGAATAGCAAACATTTTAAGTCTGAAAAAAAATTCCTGATTATATTTTAAGTTCCAATTCTTTCTCTCAAACCAAAGATGAGACTGACTCCCATATCATCTTAACTGGTCCCAACTTTAACCAGTATTTAGTTCTTTTCTTTTTTTCTTTATCTCAGGTCAAATACAATTTAGGGTTAGAACTATGCAGAAATAAAGGTTGGAACTTCTGATTTTTTAGACAAAAAAAATATAGTTGGTGTTTTTTTTAAAAAAAAATACTATGGGGTAATTTCAATTTATTATTCTACTACAAAATGGACTGGGCGTAGTGGCTCGTGCCTGTAACCCCAGCTACTCAGGAGGGAGAGACTGGAACCCCAGTTCAAGATCAGCCCAGGCAAAAAGTGAGTGGCCCCTCCTACCCTCCAACATACAACCTGTATGAGGAGGCACAGGTGGGAGGATGTGGTCCCAGGGAAGCCCTGGACAAAAAGCATAAGACCCTATCTGACAAATAACTACAGCAAGAGTGTAGTGGGAGGTGGGGGAGTGTGTGAGGGAGAGCGGCTCAAGTGGTAGAGCACTCCAAGTTCAAATCCCAGGACCACTACAAAAGAAAATAATGAAAGAATAAAACTGAATGATGGCTATGATATTTCAAAGCCACAGAGGTTTGGTTAACAGGAAATAAGATTCCAAGGACTTAAAACAGGTAGGCAGAGACTTCCAATAGAATGCATGTGGCTTTCTTCAAATAAAACCAACATTTCCTACAGGCTTGCACAACAATGAGACCCACCTTAAAGACTTCCATCTGTCTTTCTCTATATGATTTTCAGGTCCTTCACTCTCATAAGAAGCCAGGTAGAGAGCTGTAATCAATCAAAGGAAAAACTATATCAGCACGAAGACTTCTGATACGTTACCACTAGCTGAGACCAACCCCCAGCAAAACACACTCTTTACGATATTAACTTAGGCCTGAAAAGCTTCATTGTTTCACAAAGAACACAGAATGGCACTATGCCTCTAACTGACCTTCTCAACAAAAACCCAAGGGCAGCCAAGTCAAAAGGCACTTAATTAATTAAGAATTTATGAGGTAAACTGGCACCCTCAGTTTAAAAAAAAAAAAAAAAACCTTAGTAGATTTTCTAAGCCAGTATTCTATCCTTCTAACATTTTTTCTTCCTTTTTTTTAAAAAAGAAGAAACTGAATAGCCTCACCATCTTCACTGAAGACTGGAACTGTAAGCAGATACTGCAAGATCTTCCGGTCCCTCTCAAATGGACACTCAACTTGTTTCCATGTCATAAATTCACTTACTTGTTTGGCCAATTCCCAAAATTTCTGGAAGAGAATAAAAGAATTTTAAAGGCAATCATCAAAAACTATGAACTTGAAAGAGACAATTCTATTTAAAATGCTTCTTTCTGATTTTTAAACTTCTGAATTATATACTTTTCATAATTCAAAAAAGCTGTCATTTGCTGGTTAGGTACGGTAAAATCTACTCACATTCCCTGAAATAATATAACAATAGTAAGAACAATGATGGTAGAGCTACTATATTCTACTTAGCATTACTAATTTCTTTTCTTTGGTGTACTGGGGTTTGAACTCAGGGCCTCCTACTTGCTAGGGAAGTGCTCTATCACTTCATCCATGTTCCCAGTCTAGCATTGTTATTGAAAAGTGAAAGTCTGTTCTGGAACTGAAGGATCAGCTTTGGCTGCCGGGCCTGGGGTGCAGTAGTGAGAAGCTTTCCTCTCCCAGTAACTCGACTTTTCTACCCTACTCTATCACACTCACCTCAAAGTTGACATGGCCATTTGGAAGGCGGTTGGCGCAGCCCTCATTGAGGAAATAGATGTCTTTGATTAGCAGACTGAAGAATGGTATCACAATCTAGAGAAAACAAAAGATTCAGGTTTGTTTGGGCAATCAAAACATTTAACCTGTCATCAAATACTACAAGGGATTAATGAACACAACTTGAATTGCATGGAAAGCCACAGTGAATTAAGGCACAGCATTCTATATGCCTTACATGTCTACAGTTTCCTCCTGTATTTGATTTTGCTTAGGATACAAATGCCATTAATAACCAAAACATAGCCAGGACAAGTACTGTTGGGAAGTAGATGGATACTTTTCCTAGTTTTCTTATTTTTTCTCAACACCACAGCATATGATAAAATCTGAAAATTCTAGCTATAATAAAAGGAAAAATACCTAAAAGAACTCTTGCTTTTCATTTAGCAATGCCTTAGTTATTGCAAAATCTCAAGAAATGTATGACCCATCTCCTTCCACATTCTGTATCACTATATTATTTACATGTCTACATTTCAGATGAGGTTATTTTTACTTCAGATGATTGTATTTTACGCTCGAAGGCATTGCTCAAGATAATGCAAGAGCTTAGAGTTTTAGGCAATAGATGTTACAACCTTTACATTGAGTAAACTTGGCCTGTGTATAAGAAAACAAGTCAGGACCTGCTATTGTGGAAAATCACCTAAGAAGTACCTGGCACAGTAAATTGTGAGACAAGTGTGCCCCGAGTGTAGGAGGAATATAAATGTATAAATTGAAGACTTTAACAAACAACAAACTTTCTTTAATGATACTTTCCTGCCTCGATTCTTTGGTTTGATAAGATAGTATTTAATTAACCTAAAGTAATAATCTTTAAGAAAGTACTGTAAATCCTACTAAACCCATAACAGAATAAACAAAGCTCAGATACAGTAACTTCTTCTTTGTCTCAAATGTCAACAATTTTTTTAAAGATTTTAAATTTTCTACAGTGTAAATAATGCACCCAACACAAAATAATGCACAAAACACAGAAACTTAAAAAGTCCCAAGAGCATATTTTTGAAGTTTCCTAAGCTCATGACCTATGTGGTACTTCTATATCAAGTGAATGGGAAAAAAATACTTTTTTGGTTCATGCACAAAAATCTTAAGCATCCATTTACTTCTAGAGAGAAATTCAGAAGTTCCCAGAAAGTCATTTTAAGTAAGCTTTCATTATTTTTTATTTCATTAATCTCTGAAATAACCAAGTTGGATCTTCGGTTTCAACCACCCTCTTGAATATACTTTTAATCATTTGCTCTTGTCTGTGAAACCTCTAAAGCTGAATTGGTAAAGATCTCATTAAGTTCTCCTTCTAATGTTACTATCAAGGCTCTGTTGTGTTAGAACTATGCAGTCATAATAACAATGATAAAAGTACACTTGAACCTTGCATCACTGAATTACTACTAATTGCTGGGACTCTGTCAGACATCATTTTAAAACCTGGCTCCATAATTTACTAGTGGTGAAAGCTAGGAGTTAGCAAACAGCAACCTTTCTTTATACAGCCTAAGAGCCACACATGTTACATTTTTTAAGTGGCTGGGGGAAAAAAATAAAAATAGTAATACTTTGGGATGTGTAAAAATTAGATGAAATTCAAATTAAAGTGACCACAGAGCTTTACAGGAACACAGCCATGTTCATTCATCTACATATTGACTATGTCTGCTGTCATGCCACTATCCAATTTGAACATGAACTTAGATGATCATCACCATGTGATAACCCCAGGGAAATGGAAACAAAATTATAATCAAGATGTAGTATGTGTATACTGTAACAGCTTTTAAGAAAGAATTTTAATTCTGTCTCTATTCCTTGGTGCTAGGCTATGAGATTCACTGAGTGTTGATCATTTATTGTCTCATGTTGATATTTCAACTTTTTCCAAGTCCATGTTATGTTCCTCTAGATGAATTATAAATTTGGGGTGGCAGAATTATTCCTTCTGTGATTTTTGCAGTCATAGGTGTCTACAAGATGATCTATTGATTAAGTCACTCCTCCAGGGAAATGGAACCATAACACATCTCACTTGGGATACCTCACTGCTTTGTTTCTTATGCCTATAGACAAGAAAGAAATCTCACAGGTTTCTTCAACTTCTCATTTACTCATCAGTAATTCCCACGAGTTCTAAAGCACCTATACAAAACAAACCAAGAGAATGCAAGGACTTTGGATTTTCATTAGCTAAGTGATTGTGCAGAGTACTATTAGGAAAGAGCAAAAGTTTGGTTTCTATAAGGTCTTGCCAATGATGCCATTAATGGGAGAACTTTTCAAGTAATAATGTGTCTTCAATTCTCTTTTAAGATATTCTTAATTCAGAGAGTCAACAACTCTACTTTAAAGGGCTTATCAGTTCCACATGTAGCAATGACTACTAGTAAGCAGAAATGAGTTCACAGAAACACAAACACAATGGCAGAGGTTTGAAAACCATGCTATTGCACCAGCAATGGTTAGAAACCTGCAGGCATAATACACAAGCACTTTCTATTAGAAAAGCACAGAAGTGTTTCTTTGTGAAAGACAGATTTGATTTGCTCTGTAAGAGGGACCTGGAAATGTGCCACTTTGAACACAAAAATTTGAGATTTGAAAGATCAAAGATTCTACTTTGCTAGGGATGCTGCCAGGAAGACTGTAAAATAAGGAATTACTCTGGAATAAAGAGTTCTCCCCCACCTTAGAAAAAGGAAAAAGAATCTCAATTTTCTTGAATAAAAGATGAAAACCAGAAAACTTTTCATTCATATCCTCTGAGACTAATTGTGAAAAAGAAAGCACATTTCTTTAAATGACTGTGGTTTTGCTTATTTCATGCTCTATGTGGTACAATTCTTAAGCTCACATAGAACTTTTTAAAGAATAAACTACAGCAGATAGGACTTATTAAATGATATAAATGGTAAATACTTGGGACTTTTTCTGTAAAAAACACTGTTAAGGGTCCCACAGGTGACATCTTTTGAGGAGGACGGACTTCAGAATTACTTTACCAATGCTGCAGCTCCCTAACAAATAGAATTCTATGGCCTCTTCACTGAGCGGAGCCAGCAATTTCGCAGAGAGCCTTACATCCAACACTAGGAGAGGTGAATGTGGTCACATGTCCTTTCACTTGAGGGTGCTGGGCAACTCCCACATATGTGCTGGTTTTCTGAAACTTAAACAACCCTGAGGTCTTTTCTCAATCTAATCATAGGAATACTGGGATTTAGGCAAACAAAACTTAAAACCTGGGAAACCATTCTTACGTTAAAAGATAAAAGTTAATATAGTTATAATCTCTCACACACTATCAGAAGTGATACTTCAGATGTGGCTGAGAAACAATTTAGCATTTTTAAAAGGTGAGGTTTTGTTTGTTTTCATTTTAGATCTCTGAGGCTAAAGCTTTTGCTGGGGAAGTGACTTAGATGCCATGAAATAGTTTTACCTTCAGTTTTTCATTTGTGAGGATATGGTTTAAGTTAAAGATAGGCAGGATCCAAACAGAAGATAACTTCTACCAAACAACCTTCATTAGCCATTTACCATAACCAGGTATGTACTTCTCAAATAACTGACAGTCAAAGGTCAAGACAACATACCCTTCTTCTGTAAGGAAATGCAACACGAATGTGTCAAGAAAGGAACCTCAGAGTCAAGAGTATGGTAAATCCAGGACGGTTTTAACTTGTTTAAGAGCAGGGCAGAGAGAGTAGATCATTCCTTTCTCAGACATCACCCCTGTATTTTTTTGCCACCCACATATCCAATTAGTAGCAGCAGGCCTAACGCTATAGCAACTAACCTACTTTCTGAAAATAAATGACTTAACTGTGGGAGGTAAGCTAATTCTTTTAAGAGGAAAGGTTACATTAAGTCAGCCACCTTGCACAGAGATTAAATGTCTTTTTTCCATTAAAGCAAATTACTCTCTAATGCTATCAGTCACCTTAACATATGACTTAATTTGCTGCTTGAAACACAACTAAGATGCACTACAGAATAAGCATTTCAGTACTGTAGTAATTATACAGTAATATATATTTGTAAAGTTCTATACCAAGTCACCTTTCCTTTCCCACAGTTTAACTTTCCTTGAGAATTCCTCCTTCTTATGTGATAAGTGATTTTTACAGTACACATCTCAGATCTGAACAGGTAAAGGCAGCTCTGTCTAGTCATTCACACTGCATTTCAATATAAAACATGGCAACTCTATTACAAATAACACACTATTTTAACTACCCACCTTCTCTCTGCTACTATGAGCAGTTAAAGACCTTTGTGCTGCCCCACGAAGAGCTGTTCGATAATTATAGAAATTGCTTGAAGGGTCCATCTGATGCTGTAGAGAAAAGAGAAATTAGTATTAGCCACTTATTTCTCACCTGTAGAAGTTTATAAGATCACACATTTAATTATACACACAAAAAAAATCAATGTTAGGGAACTCACTAGGAATTTGAATTATCCCTTTTATATACATGCACACACCCACATACCACATTACAACACATATGCTTTCTTTCCTGAAGTTTGACTTATTTTCACAACTTTGGTTTAATTATCAATTTGATAATGTTAAACATAAATCAAATCTAGTTAGGCTAATTATTGAGGTCGGACCTGAAACTGACAAGAGTCAAACACTAGCACTGGAAAAAATATTCTTATTTGAAGACCAATAGGCCAGGAGACAGTCAACCATGTACATGATTTAATACTTTGTAGTGAACTTGTTGTTTGCATTTGATAACAAATCATTCACAAATAATTGAAGTACATCATTTTGCAAGAACGGAAAGAAATGTTCAGATAGTATGAATAAAGGAGCATATATCTAATGACAATTTCCAATTTGGGGAACTTGAGAATGAATCCTTATTATTTCAAAAGACTTTGGATTGAAAGCCACCATCAACACACTAAGATAATATGAAGATGAACAGGATTCAAACACATGCTCTTGTGCACAGTTCTAACTACCCTTGGAATTATATGGGAGGGCTTTTCACAGGTCAGCTATATTTGTTCAAAGGTTGGTGAATGAATATTCTGTAGGCATGAATATACTCCTTCCATGGCTGCTGTATGTAAATGTAGTTAGTAGGTAAATGAGGAAGAAAAAGTCTACATTGTTCAGGACCCCAGCTGTATTCTAGCACACAAAGTGATGTGATCGACAAGTCTGCAGTTCTTTAGTCAATTACCCCAGCACATATACCTCTACTTATTAAAGGAGTAATCCAAAACCTAATTTATTTTACCCTCCTCCAATTCAAACCCTATCCTTCCCCTGGGTCTATAATCCTTTTTCTTCTGCAGTACTATCCAATCAAGTGGCAAGATCACATAGAGGAATATCACTTTCCAGGTGTAAAACATTACTTACTGGTAAAATACCAGCTTCACATACCTCAAGAATGTCAAACTTTGCAGTCTTCACTTTGGCCCAGGTTTTTTTTAGTCGAGACACTGGGCTCATATTCATGCCAGCTTCCCATTGAAAAAGCATGGGAGAGAAAATTGAAATAGAGACATAAGAAAAGCAATTCTAATTTATACTCCTGAGTTCATTACATGCATAAGTTATTGGGTTCTATAAATTATTCATAAATAATAAACTCCAATTTTACAACTTTATGTTGCAAATTTTCCCTCAGCCCAGAAACAACATAACTACTATTATTTACTTTGTGGTGGGGTGAGTACATTTTCTTGGTAAAAGGCAAAAGAGCACTGTCATAGGCTGTGCAAGTCATATGGTCTATGTTGTGCCTACAAAACACAGCCATGCAATCACAGATAACTACAAGCAATGACCATACCTATGTTCTAATAGAACTTTACTTTTGGATATTGAAATCTGAATTTACAATATCTCCACATTAGAAATATTCTTCTTCTTTTTATTTTTTTACTCAGTGGCCACAAAGAAACAAGCAGTGTACCAGACTGAGCCAGAGTATAGGGTAAAGAATTTCCCAAGGTCATTCACCCAACCAGTAACAGAGATGGAAGTGCATACGAATCTAACTCCATACCCCACTCACCCCATTATGCTGCACTGAATGACAACTTTCCATATTACAGCTACTTGGTAAAATACTGCAGTGGAAGAGGAGTCTACACAGGCCTTAATGAATATATACATATTCATTCTATTCCACCAATATTCGCATTTTAAGAACCAGAGGAGTTTTCTTTATAATTCAGGAAAACTTTACATGCAGAAAAATACATAGATCTTAAATATATAATTAGAAGAGTTTGAAGAATGTGTAAATCCATTTGTCTCCACCCCAATCAAGATACAGTAGAACATTCCATCATTCCTCGCAGCTCCCATGTACCCACTTCCAGTCAATCTCCACCCCTACAGAAGTCAGGATAGTGGCTGCCTATCACTACAGAGTAGCATTGTTGGTCCTAGAACTCCACATAAATGGAATCATACGTACACATTCTTCTGTGCCTAGATTCTTTTGCTCAGAATAATTTTGGAATTTATCCATGTATTTTATGTGCATCAATTATACATTTTTGCTGCTCAGTACTATTTCATTGTATGAATATAACATAGTTTATTCAGTCATTCATCTGTCAATGGGCATTTGGATTGTTTCCAGTTTGGGGTTATTATGAATAAAGCTGCTTAAATATATTCTAGTACAAATCTTTCTACCGATGTGTGTTTACAGTTCTCTGGGGTAAGTACAAGATGGTGTGGAATTTGTGGATTACAGGTAGGTATATGGTTAAGTTTATAAGAAACTGCCTGTTTTCCAAAAAAGGAGTAATATTTTATTTTCCCTCCAATAACGTGTAGGAATTCCACTTGTTCTACATCATGAACAATAATTGGTGTAACCAGGTTTTTTTCATTTATTCCAGAGTATGGAATGATGTTTCATTGTGATTTTAATTTCTTTACTTTTTGATGACTAATGATATTGAGTACCATTTCATATACTTGGAAAAGAATATTGTTAGTATATTTAGTATATTTTTGTGAAGTATCTTTTAAGGCTTTTGCCTTGTTTTTCACTGGTTATTTTTCTTTTTATTGATGCATTTTTCTTTTTATTGAATCTTTATGGATTCTGGATACAAATTCTGTCATCTACATGCATTACAAATATTTTCTCCCATACTATGGTTTGCCCTGACAGTTTCTTAATGGTTTAAGACAGAAAGCAAGTAATATTCTATTACTTAGACTGTGGAACTTCCAGGTCCCTGATTTATATGATTTTTCTGTTTACTGTTTTTATAGAGTCAGTCAAGTAACAGTTGAAATTTGACCAGTATTTTTATGGGGGGAGACAAAAGGGAAGTAATATGCAAGCAAAATGGAAAAAGGAATTGGTGAAAGGGGAATTTATCAGGATAAAAATTACTGAATTAAATTGGGTAGATTCTCTGACTTCAAATTGACCCCAATTCTTTTCTTCTGTTCTTTTATTCAAATATTTACTGAGCACCTACAATGTTTAGGACATCCATATAATCTGCCATATAAATCAGTATACTTATTAATGCTAAGAGTAATTATCAATAATTATGGCAAGAAAACAGGTATAGAAGGTACAACAAAGATTTGTTGCTGCACGACCTATGCTAATAGAATGAATGGAAAGAAACATGGTCTCTGGCATTAAAAATCCCCATGAAATTCAGGAGACAGCTAATACACTAGAGTAGCAAGGCTTACAGTTGATAGACAGGATGAGCATGAGGAGTGTGGGCTGTCAGAAAATTTTCAGTTTCTTGGGACACCTTCTTGTCCATGCTGATGAAAGCATGTGATTTGATCTCAGGTAACAATTTCTAAAAGGCTTGATATACAAGCTGCCAAAATACTTTTTAAAATTCTTTATTTAGAGAAATACCTGACTTACAAGCTTTTTTGTTTTTTGTTTTTGTTTTTTATTTTGGTCCTGGGGATAGAACTCAGGGCTTTCACATGTGTTAAAGTGCTCTACCACTGAGGCACATCTTCACCTGCCACTTAGAAGCTCCTATAGAATATTTAGCTAAGGATAAATTTAAAATATCCCAAGAACTCTTGCATTCTTAAAAAAGATTAAACATTCTTGTACCAATTTGGCTATTTTTAACATCCTGAATATTCTGACATTCAGGATTAAAGAGTACAGTACTGTTCATCAACAAAACTGTATTATTTACAGATTTTCAGCAGGTACCTTTCACAGGCCCCATAAAAATAAAATCCTCCAGGAAATACTCACAGATTATTGCCATCAAGGAATTAAAGTTGCCAATGTTGAAACACTCTCGAGCTACGTCAATGAAATACTCAATCATTCTTGCTCGGTGTTTCTTCTTTACAGGCTATATAAGACAATGGAGAGCAGTTATCCAATATAATAGATCCAGCAGATGTAAAGTAAGCATGAAACATAATATTGACAGCTAGGAGGAAGACAAAATTCATTTTCTTACCATGCAGATTTCTGTAGCAACCAAGTAGCTCAAGCGATTGAACCATTCCACGTAAGCTTCTAAGTTTCGTGTTTTCTTCCGTTCACTGTAGCAACTCTATAGGGAAAGCAAGTGAACAGCTAAGTTAGAGAAAAAAGAATGCATTAGGCTCTTATTTTGTCAGATATGGGGACTTTATTCTCAGTTTATGGATGAGGAAGGCTTTCTAGGATTAGAGAGGGAAGGAGAGGGGGAGAGAGAGAGAGAAAGAGAGAGAGCAAGCAAGAGAGAAACTCTTGATTATCCTTACAGATATACCAAATTCTTTTAAGGATGATCCAGTGAAGCCTGAGGTCTAGACATATATTTTGATGCATTCATCCTACCTTCCTATGCAACTAAGTTGGGTGAGCTCTGTCCTCAGAAGCACAATTCAAAGGAAGGATTTTAGCTGTATTCTAAAAAGATCTTGGATTGACTAATGGAGTACAAATACTAACGCTATCAAGACAGTAAGGACAGGCCAAGAATGCAGAGAATTAGAAAAACCTCCTCAAGTTAAGTTATAGAACAAAGTTTAGAACATGATGCACCAAGAAACTAAATGTCTTCCAAGAAGATAAATGGAAGTCTACCCCATCATGGTCTCTGCTAGGGTGAGTGACACATAGTTCAAAAGCAAAAGAATTTAATCTCAACTTGGAGTTCAAGGCCATACTGGAAGAGGTTTATTAACCCCTCTTTCCTTCCTTCCAAAAGACACAAACAAAACATCCAGTAGCCTTCTATTGCAAAACATATTCATTTCCTGTACTGAGAGAAGCTATTCTAAGGCCGGAAAACAGCTGTTGTACCTACTCCCAAAGGGGACTTATCAGTGGGTGATGAAGTCTTCACCTAACAATTCAAAATAATTTTAGTGGTCACTTAGGAAAAAAATCTTGTATGTGTAGACTGATCTTACAGCCCAAATCCAGTATTATATCCTTCATGTGTGGGCTTTTGCCTTAAAGTGAGAGGCAAAGCAAAAGAGCTCAGTGAGCTGGATGTGCTTCCTGTCTTTCCTGTCTCTGCTGCCATTGAATCATCAGCAGAGTGTTCTCTTCTATTTTCTTTTTGGCTTAATCTGCTTAAACCATTATGCTTTTATCTTCTACCATGAATACCACAAATGCCTGCATCTACTTGCCATCCAGGACTTATTAAGTTTCCCAATAAGGAGGAAAGAGAGGCTAAAAGTTAGTGATGGAATAAGACTTTTGTAAAGGTACTCTGAGATTTAGCTCAAGAAAAACTAATGAATCACACATTGCTAATGAAAAAAGAAGCAAGTTTCTGATCTTCAAACCTAAAACAGTATAGTTTCAATGACTATGTCTTATACCCATTAAAACAAATTAAGGAATTTCATTTCTAGTTTCAGGAATGACCTCTGGATAGACAATTACCTTGTCATTGTCCAAAGGGTCCTTCTGTACAAATGCTTGAACAAATTCTTCTGGTCCAATATAATTGAGCCTCTCCTGAAATTCAAAGCATCAACAGTATTAAAGCAAATGAAAAAAAAATGGATAGCCAATTTCCTTGAGTGACTTTTGGCACCACCCCAATTTCTTAACACAAATTTTAAAATAAGCTTTTAACCCTAAATAGTTTCATATTTTCAGGGTCTAGACAGAGGCAATTTTCTGTGTAGGTCAATGTTCCAAGTGATAGTAGGAGACTGAATGAATTATGGAAAAATTAATTAGAGGCAGAAGATGTGGGATAGCAATAAACTCTGCTTTTCGATCTTGTTTAGTATTTATTTACAAGTAAAAATCCCCAGAATGTCAATCATTCATATTCGAATGCCTGAACGTAATAGTTTCAGCTATTTTGTACATCATTTCTCATCCGGATTTATTCTGACCTCTCTTGTGACATTACTGCTGGCAAATACACTGTCTGGTTGTCAAAGCAAAGCAAGTCTGTAGTTGTAAAGGGCAAGGATAATAAGGGCCTTACCAGCTCTATGTGAGTCAGCTGCTGGGCCAATGTGTAAGGGTCACTGCAGACAGTAATGATATCCCTCTGTATGGACTGTGGCTTTGTCTTGAGAACCGTGAGCCGGTCTGTGGAGGTGGAGCTGATTTTTGCCAAGACTTCTTCATACTGGCTGAGAGCAGCAAGCTTTCGGATCAGACACTGCATCATCTGCTGGACATTCTTCCGGTATGTCTGCTAGGGAATAAGAAAACGATGACACGCTTGCTCTGCATGTCTCTTTTGAGCACTATGCAACGCCACAGACCATGTCTTTAAACGATCTCATCTTGACCTTGGACAATCAACTTGGTTCAATAGCTTTAACAGCTGAAAAGAGACACACATGTATCAAATGTCTTTTCAGATCAGACCTGTAAGGTTTAGTCCTTGTCTCAGGTTGCTTTTGAAAGTGCAGTATAGGCTGGGCCTTTAAAAACACTAGAGACATTTCAGGTTAGTTGTCAAAGGGATGCAATGTAAAGAGTGCTGTACACAACTAAATTTTCTCTAATAGGAATGTACCTGTTTACTTCTGGTAGGTTAAACTACATTGATCTTAGGGCCTTGCTGGTTTCTCCATGCCTATCATTATTCTAAGGATATGAAAACTACTTGACAGGAACACACCATTACTTTCTACTCTCCCACCCACACACTTCCTGACTGTCACATGTGATGTGGAGGTGGATATTCATTTTTGGTATCAGACTCCTCCGGGCTCATGTCCATTTCTTTCTCATTTTGAGTCAGTACTAATGTTCACAACCAAACTCTTCTCCATAATGCTACTTGTCAGCTACCACTGTGTTCCCTACTCCATTATGCTATAGCCACAAAACCTAAGATCAATTGGTTTAAAAAGAATTGCATGTATCATGTGTAAGTGTCAACTTCTTGACGTTTAAAATGCTTGTTAAGCCAAAGAAATGACTTCCCAATTAATCAATTCCTTTGGTTCACTTATCGTAAGTTACGGAGTTGTTTTGGTTTCCTTTTCTGTCCAAAACTGCCAAAAAGTATCCTTGGTAAATTATAATGCCTATGTTAGGAAAAACCACACGGGCAGCCTCAAGCTGGACTGGATCCTTACATTAATAGCTCCAAAGGAGGGTAGTCCCAGTGAATCCACGGACACATAAAGGCCTATGTTTATGCTTCACCGACTTTTCAAGAAGTACCATAATACATCTGCTGAGATTAGCTATCTGAATAGTAAATGCCATCTATCTTCAAGTACAAAAATCATTTTTTGGTTCATTCTGTTGTTTTTAACAGAAGCAATTTGATTCAATAGAGCACATTACAAAATCCTATAGATGTCTGCATAAAAAGGAAAATTATAACACATCTGGAAATGGTTAATTTTCACATAGGCAAGGATAAAAAGCATACACAGCCCCCTTTTTTTTTCTTCTCTACATATTGGTCTTCATTCCAATTAGTTAAGTGGCCCATAGATGACCTTTATTTTTCTCTGTATTCACAGGTCACCCTAAACTGATGAGCTACGTTAAGTGTTTAAAAATTGAACTTTCAAAAAAATCTATCTTCCACTCGGCATTTAGGTTATCAGTTTAGAATGTTTTATCTGTTTGGTAATGTACCTGTCACTCAAGGAAAATCTCTCTTTCTTTGGCATTTTAAGCCACTCAAGACTGAGTTATTTTAGATCCTTTATTTCTGCTTCCCCTTCCACCTCATCTACTTTTGTAACACTGAGCTACATTAAAACTCTATGAACTTAAGATGTTTTCTTCAGTCTTCTGTCCCAAATGTCATAATAAATACCTACGTGACAGTTAGTACTACTTCTTAAAATTATGCAAGTAGTTCCCAATGTATTAATCATGATAGATAACAAACATCTTGTTGAGGTGCTTTAGCCACGGTGTGTACAATCCCAGCTAGAAAACACATGCTATAAGGCTGCAGTTTCAGAGTCATTAAGGTCTATTAAAAGAGTAACCCACAACTGTTACATTACTACCCTACTAAAACATAGCTTGGTGTGGTAAGAGATGTTTATTTTTAGTCAAGTCTTTCTGAGAAAAGTTCTGAATCTTCTCCATACAAATTTTCCTTGTTTGTTTCCAACAGAGTAATTTTTAAAAAGAAAAAAGCATGGCCCAAGCATATTTTAGACTACTGTGCAGCAGGTGAAAGAGGATACGCTATCTGCACTGACATGGTAAGGTCCCCAAAGACATGTCAGTGAGTGAAGAAAGCAGGTGAAGAACACTAGTTAAACACATGCATAACTACATACATTACTTCTATGGATGTCCATGTCTGTGCATGAATCCACATAGAGAGGTAGCTCAGAAGGATAGATTCAAAACGAACAGGATTGGTGGAACTTTTAAGTACTTTTGCTTCATGTAAAAAAAGCTTTTTAACAATCAGAATATACTCCTATACTACTTGACTTGTTAGAAATAAAAAATATAAAAACTCACACAATGGGATTTCTCGGCTAACATAGGTATGAGATGTGTAGGAAAGTTTCTTTCATTCAGAAATACCACAAACAACTCAATTTTTTTAACATCTCAACAGCTCTCCCATGTTAGTTATTCCTACATCTTGAATCCTTTCACCCTTTCTCCTCCCTCCCCAGGAACCTCACTCAAAATACTTCAGTTAGAAATGGCCATTTCTCCTCACCATGTGAGGGTACCAGCTGAGAAGAAAGGGGCACAAGAAATAGCTGGATGGCAACAACCTGCAGCCTGAGTCTCACCCCCACAGATTCTGACTGAATTGGGTTGAGGTACAAAAGTGCTCCTTGGGTGATGTTGACACATGTGAGAACCAATGCTTTACTAGCATATCTGGTGAAAGATTTCATTCTGCATTTTTTAAATGCCTTTTGAGGGAAGAGATAGAGGAACTGTATAGTCATGTTACAAAAATCAGCAACAAAATATTGGGGAAGAATGTACATAACAGAGTATAGGGGAAAAGCCATTGGAATAACAGGGTTTTGTGTGTGTGTATGTGCGTGCATACACAGGACAGAAAAAGGGAGGGAGAATGTGTGTGACCACCCTTAAAAGTTTCCTGCTTCCATTTGAAAAATCAAGCTTTGTGTTGTTAAGCATACTCCTTCACTGAGTCATGAATTGCTAAATATGTACTTATTCTTTTTTATAACTTGAAATCCCAGCGACAGTAATTACCTGGCAAATAAAGACAGAAGTTCTTATTATGAAGACCAGCCCCTTAAGGAAGAGAGAATTGCATTCTACTCACTATAGTCATTTGTCATGTAATTCAATCATTAGTTTCATTTCATGTTTCTTGCAGGCAAGTCCTAATAAACCACTTCATTTTAGGCAAATCCCCAGGGGAAAAAGATATTAAGCCAAATTATGTGGAACTGTCATAGCAGATTCAGAAGAACTTGACTAAATTATATATAGGGTGCACCTGGATTCATTGACTGCCAAAAAAAATCCCTGAAATCACAGGCAAGAAGCAACAAGTCGCTCCTTCCAGTGGAGGGAAATAATGTTTGCCTATTCATTCATTCACTCATTCACTCAATCAAACACTACTGAGAAATTTTTAAATTTTTAAATTATTAAATGCTAGGCATTGAAATAGGAGTTAAGAATGCAAAGAAGGCATGGCATTAGTCCCAGTGAGAACAATGAAAAAGTAACTAATTAGAAATCACAGAGTGCTATGAAATGCTATGAAGGAAAGGGTGGTGAAAGTCAAGACCGAGAGGTGTAATCTTAGTCTGGGTGGCGGGAAGAAGGTCTCTCTGAAGAGTGATATTTCAATATATGACAGATGAGGAGTCTGCCAAGCAAAGAAGTAAGGAAAGAATATCCACCACATAATTTCAGAGCTGGAAGGTACATTGACACAAGGTAGTTCACTCAATGATTTATAGAAATGAGAAAGGAGCAAGGAATTTAAGGGGCTTGCCAAAGCATACTCAGATCAACAAACTAAGTGTAGACCTAATTTCTGACTCTTGATTAAATCAGCCAAGAAACAGCCACTTCCTATGAAACTCTGCCCAATGAAGACAGGCACATATCTCCATTCACCACCTAATTCAGTCAAATCCTCAGTTCGAATTGGCTTACCTACTCACCCCTCTTCCCATGCTCAAAGCCAGCTGAACTTCCAAAGTTTTAGCAAGAATGTGTTAGTTACACAGGAGAGCTAACAAGAAGCCAGGATCAGAAGGCAGTTTGTCCCTTTTCTCAGTTTTACCCAACTCTTGAATGACTTGATCTTGTCAAGTCATAAAAAGAATAAAGACCAGATCTCACCTGGTCATAGATAGGAATGACCTCCCTCTTTGACTTCCATGACAAGCAAACATTACATTCCAAAAGTCATCCACTTGACATTTTCAAATCACTGTACTTTATCTTAAAAAGAAAAAGGGTTTTCAGGTGTTCCTTTTGGGAAGAAGCAAGCTATAATTTCTGTCTTTTAAAAAGGCAACAAAAAGAAGATAGTTGACTGACATATAAAGTTGAGTAGCTATATACAACTTAAATGAAATGAAGAACTAATGGTGAATCAGGTCTCAAGTCTTCATTCATGCAAAAGCCCTATGGAGCCACTTCTGTACAGCTTGTCATAAACTGAGATCAGCACTGACCCTGCCAAGCAACCCAACAGCTAAGCCCTCCAACCTAAGATTTATTGCAAGACTATACTGTGATGCCTCACTTTGGTCTTACTGATTGAGGGACCTATCCATTTGTACCTGGCAGAGCATGAAACAGGCACACTGGCAAGATGCTTACAACAGTGAAAAGGACTCTTTCAGCCTGGCAGACATAATGGCTGTCTTGAGCACGTGGGTTCCGTCAGTAATGATGCCATTCTAAAAGGGTTCATTCCAGTTTTGTTAGTAGATAGACTGCTGTGGTTTGAGTTTAAGTTCCAGACAAAAGGGAGCGAAAATAATTTTCAAGGAAAGCCAAGTAGAAGGTATTCAGGTGTTAATTTTATAGAATTTTAGTAAAATTTCTTTTTAAGTTGGGGAAATGTACTAAAACATATTCACAAGTATCAGAACAGATCAGAGTCTTGTTAGACTCTCTTTGTAGCACACCTCTGAAAGAATGTGTTCTCCAGAAAGGTTATACATAATGGGAAATGCATTTTTCAGACAAATGAAACAAGACATCACTACAACTGCCACATGCTTTGTCTACCTTTTTCTATGTGAAGATGTTATATCTGTGCCAAAGTAACTTGTTTCCAGAAACTTACCAGCAACACAGAAACTATAAAGACATCCTTGCCCAACAAGCCTCAACACAGAAAACCAGCCCTCCAGGCCTACTTCAGAGAGGATAACCTTGAATCTGTCACAGCTAGTTAGCCCCTATCAAAGGCCTGATTGAAGGAAGTGATATTTATAAATGATTATCTAAGGGACTTACTTTCAGTCTCCACCTATTCTAGGTCCTAGCCTTGAATCAACTTCTGGCACCTGAAGACTTGGATTGCTTTTTGTCTTCTCCTCCTCCATCTTTGCTAATCTACACACTAATCAATGGTCCATTTTATCAAGGAGTATTTGCTGTAACAACTACAGAGGCATAATAAAGAACATCACATCTTACACTTTCTATAAAAAATCCCTCTTAAGAATGTTTTTGCTGTTTGTTGTAGTTTTTGCAGTGCTGGAGATTGAACCCTGGGTCTCATGCATGCCAGGCAAGTGCTCTACCACTGAGCTATATAACCAGTCCCAAGTTTTAAAAATTTTCATTTAATTCCCTGAAGAATTAGTGTGCTGTTTCCCCCTGACAATGAAAATTATTGTAGCTCACTTTTATCCGGAATTTAAACTCAAACCACAGCAACTAATAGCTCTCAACATAATCATATTTGTTTCCTCCTTCCATGGTTCAGAACTATTTATACTTATAATTTACCAATATGCCACTATAAATTGTTGTATTAATATGCTATTTACTTTATATCTTACTGTTTATTAATATGCTATTTATTGTCTACCTGTGTCAAACCTTTTCGGAAGGAAGGAAGATGTAAGTAAAATAAAATCAAAACACATGCACAACAAGAATCTTGTGCATGAATAAACATAACATATCCCCCAATAAATCACATAAAAATCTAAATCATATTCCTGTGAAGTGGGATGGAATAATCATTCCATTTGGCATACCAAAAAGGCCAAAATGCTATGCAGAGGGCCTGCCCAAAGGCAAAACAGAAAAGAAGTGCTGAGGTTCTGGGACATAATTCAGCACTGTAGCCCACCCAGTCTATGTCTGGAAATTTCTGTGACTGCTAAATTCAAGTTACCAACCTCCTCGCCAGTGGCTATTCGGTGAGCCAGGTCTTTTAAGTTTCTCATCATTCTTTCATCCCGAAAATCATAAGGAAATGTTTCTGTCCATTCTGTCAATAGTTGAAGAATTTTAGGTGCAATTTTTTTCATCTGGTTCTAGGAAGAAAAAGCAAATCACATTCAGTTGATCTCTATTACCATGAGCATCAAATACATAATTACAACATCACTGATTAATTATTAGTGCAAAGTCTTTGTGGTTGAAGCAGCTCTTCCATGTCAATACCAAGTGCAATCAACTTAAGGAAGGATATAGGAATTCTCTACGACATTCAATTTCTACTGCTTTCTTTTTTTCCTTTTCCTTTCTCTTTTTTTTTTTTTTTTTTTTTGCAGTGCTAGGGATCCAACCAGGGACTTGTGTATGTTAGACAAGTGCTCTACCACTGAGCCACACCCCCAGTCCTATACTGTGTTCTTTAAGCCATTCCCTATTTCCTATGTGTAGCCATGGTGCCATTTATGCAGAGCAAGCTAGAGTTACTTACAGAAACCAACTTCACAAACTCTAAGCCATAGAGTTAGTATACTAATTAAAAAATGGTAAAGTTTAAAATGTTTCCTTACCTTATCACTATCAGAATCACTAAGTCTCTGATGTTCCACACATAAGTGGCAAACTTTGGCCATTAGCTCATATGGATGCATAAACAACCGGGAACTGAGTAGGAAGGTAAAAATGTATGTTCTCTGTGACAAAAGAAAAAGTCATCATTGTTACACTCTCTCCGAATTAACAGCTTTCCTATATATCTAATTTCATTAAGTTCTCTTGATCGAATTTAATATTCTACACTTTCAAAAGTAATACCTACTAATAGTAAAACAGTATAGGATGGATTTTTCCTTTAAGCCTGTATCTTTTTCTGTAAATCACACTAAAAATAACAGAATAAGTCAGGCTCCTGAAATTATTCAGAAAACATTTTCCTACCTATCCTCCTATCTTTTCACTGTAGTAAAGAATGGAATTCAGTCCAGAAAGAGAAATCTATCTCAAATGAATCACCTGCACAGAATCTTGTTATGTGTTCAAATATTATGGTAACTCAATGGAAACAAAGAACAACAAAAAAGTCAAGCAAACAAAGAAACAAAGACCCATACACCCTACCCACATTTAATCAAGAATCCTTCAGTGTGTTCAGTGTGTGTAGCACACTGAAGTGTTTGTGTCAGAATATTTGAAGGCAAGCTTTCAAGTAACCTATTTACTGGCTCAAGAGCTAAGCAATTTGATAAAGCACAATGTAACACTATACACTTTTCTTTAACCACATTGTCTCCCAAGAAGCCAGTAATGAAGTAGTGCTTATTTGTTATAATAGTTTCAGATTCCAAATGAAAAGAGAAATTCCATGGGTTGCTCCACAACCACCTCCCTTAGGCGCATTTAGTAACTCATAAACATTTAAAGAGCTCAACAAGGGATTCCTTTTATTACTTTTGATTACAAGTTTCCCCTGTGTGGCAACATATTTGAAAATTCCATGTAACAAATCACACACTGAGATATAACTCAGTAAGAAACATTACAGTGAATAACCATGGCAAGCACAAACTATCCTTTGCACATCAAAGTTACTTATACAAAGTATTTATTAAAAACTAATGAATGTGATCTTTAAATATTTTTACGAAATCACCATCAATAACCAGGCTCCTTAGTATATCTCAATGACCTACTAAATTCAATTCCACAGAGACAGTTGGGGCACAAGAGAAGCAGAGAAAAGACTTGGTCCAGAAGGAAAGCCGTGTTTGGTTACAGATTCTGAGAGTGAGACCATGAGCACATACTCCACACTGTGGGTTTCAGTTTCCTCCCCTATCCTGTCTTGGAATTACTGTAAAGACTAAGATAATACATAATAAATTTCCATCTATCCAAAAGTAGGTTATCAAGGAAAAACAAAAGCAAATGTCATCTATCCAGTCTATAAGTCACTGCATTGTGAGTATAAATCTTTTCCATGTACTTCCCTAGTTATATTCTCTTTTCTCAGCATAGTGATGGCATTAGAATTAAAAACACATTAAATACCATACCCTAGGATCATCCAATGTTTTGTGGCATTAAAGACCAAGGTAAATGCATAGATCAACCCTACAGTTACTTCAATCAGACTGCCTATAATGTGGTACCTAACCTGAAAAGAAACTGACATGCAGTCTACACCAAAATCTGACTCAGACCCAGGCTCAATTTGATCTCAAATCATTTAATAATCAATATGCAATTTCTATTAGAAAAATTCTTAGCAACCCAGCTATAATTCCACAGTATGTATGGTCCCTGCACAATGTATTATACCAAGAATGGGTTTCAGAGGAACATAAATACCTACATCTGGATAGTAATCCACATTAGGTACTAAGTGCTGGATAAGTGCTTCCAGAGACCCAGAAAGGAGGTTGTTGTCATGGTAATACAACCCTCCACAGCTGTCCTCTGCAGACTGATAGAGGTTTCGGTTGTAACCACTGCTGTCAAACATTGCTGAAAAGGGAGGAGTCTGAGGCATACTTTCCTAAAAGGAACAAAAAAGAAGAAAACATGGCATCAGTAATACGCAACGTGAAAGATATGCTTTAATTGACACAAAGGTTTTTTGCTTTTTTGTTTTGTTTTTGTACTGCTGAGGTTCAAACTCAGGACCTCACAGTTGCTACTCAGGCTCTCTACAACTTGAGCCACAATCCCAGTCCTTTTTGCTTTAGTTATTTTTCAGAGAGTTTTAAGACCATGATTCTCCCTCCTTGTATCACCCACGTAGCTAGGATTACAACACATACCACCATACTTATTGATTGGGATGACACCTTTATAACTTTTTGTCCGGGCCATTCTCCCAATATCCGCTTCCCAAGTAACTGGGATTACAGATGTGTGCCACCACACCAGGTCCAGTATTAAGTTTTAATAGTAATGAAAGAACAGACAATTTTAAAAAGTAGGTTATGACACAATATCTGAACTCACTAAAAACCAAACTGCTCTCTGAGTACCACATGCACACAGACCTTTGAGTACCAATTTCATCCAATCAAATATCACAAAATGCTTTGACCAAAAGATCCAGTCTGGACTTAAAACCACATGATAAAGCGAGAGCACACAAGGGAGGTATGAGGATAGGCAAGACACCTAAAAAACTAGATAGCATTTGTTGCCCTTAACGCAGAGAAACTAAAGCAGATACTTTAAAGCAACTGAGGCCAATAGGAGAAGGGGAC